GTAATAAAGCTGGATTTAAATTATTCTTCCTGTTTATCCAGCATATTCTCTGCAAGGTATAAGGTATGTAGGGACTCTGTCTGCAGCTCATTGGAAGTTCAGAATTTTACACCTCAACTCAATGGATAATTCTTTTCAAAGCTATACCATAACAACAATAATGGCTAACTAAGTGTATGAAACCTTCTTAACTTTGACTCCTCACTTAAGTCATTGCAACTGATTTACTGGATTATATAGATAACAGCAAGTTTATTTTCAAAAATGTCTAGAAATATTTAAATCCAAGCAACAGAAAAAAAAAAGATAAAAATAAAAATTTTAAGCAAAGATAACCCTCATATTTAACCAAAAGCAAGATAAGCCTTGGCTACTATTTAAACAAAACCTCCTAGTCCAGATATCTGAGAGCTGCAAACATCTATCCCTGGATTCTACAGACAGGAGGCTCTGATGACAGGACCTCAAATACCTGCTGAGCTACTCTGGTCCTGGTCTGTGATGAGCTCAAAGGTGACAGAAAATAAGTCTAAACTGGATAAAGCCACCGGAGATTTCTGCCTGTTGAGTTCAATGATTGTCAATGATATTAAAACCAGAGATTAGGTCCACCAGCAGAAAAACAAAAACATCTAAAGCATAACTCGGAGGAACTTGAATTTGACTCAGCTTGCTGAAGCTGGTTGATGCAAGCTCTATGATGCAACTAATAGTGTTGTTTTTTTCTCTATACATTATTATGAGGAATAACAAACTATACCCATGCTAATTCTGTAGGGTGGACTCCTCAAAGAGCTGCATTGGTCTGAAGAGGCCGTGACAATGATGGTGTAGTGGAGACCACACTGTGCTTCCAGGAGGTAGCAGCTGCTGCCGGTGCTGTTGCAGTGCAGGTAGGTTTGGTCACTGGCCTTTGCTGTGGCAGTGTATATGGTGTTTTCAGTGCCGTCGCCCATACGCCCCCACTCAACCAAGATGGAGGAATTATGGCACTGAGTGAAGACGGTGATAGCAGACAGAGAGCAGGGGGCTGAAAGACCAGGGACATTCCAGTTACTTTACTGCAGCAGGAATGGTATACACAGAGGCTTGCAGAAGTATTTTTGCATCTTGAACTGTTTTACATTAAAGCAGACTAATTGCATTTCACTGGGATTCTATGTGGTGGTTCTGCAAGAAACTGAAATGGAGGGATTCTATGAATGCTTTAAAAAAATATTTACAAATTAAAATCTGAAAAGGGTGGTCTGCATCCGTATTTAATCTGTTTAATCTGATTCATCTAAATAAAATCCACTATGGACTGTAGTAATTAATCAGATTATTAGTGATTAACAGTTTATAGATCAAATAGTCAGCTAATTAAAGATCATTACCCAGAGTACAAAAACTAAAACAGACCATTTGCTGAAAGAACAACCCACACAGAGCAGTAATGAGGCCAAAAACTATAAAAAAAATATCTACTTTTAACAATTAAAAAGAAAACACTTCATTCAGAACTCCTTTAGTAGCATGCTTTAAGCTTGTCTTGACTCATATTCTGTTAAACATCTCCTAGTAAGCACCCCTTGCTGTCTGATTATCAATGACCTAACCAATAAAACAGCCATAAGATTAATCAGTTATTTAAAGAATCATTAGATGGATCCTTAAATCCATCCATCCATTTCCTGATATACAATCATGCACTCATTCATAGCCAAGTGTAACTTGTAAAAATAACAATATAAAGCTGTCATCCATAAAAGCCCTTCTTCCATTTAAACTCAGGTCCTTTTTGCTACATAAGCTGCCTTTTTAGTAAATACAACTTACATATTGAGGCATGGTGGTGGCCGAATAATGCTGTGGTTATGCTTCTGCAGATGCCTGGAAGCTGATCACAGTTGTTGGAAAGGCTGATTAAGCTAAATAAAGAGCAATACTGACAGGCAATCTGTTAGAGCCTACACATGTCTTGGGAATACGTGGTTCATCTTGCTGCATGGCAACTAATGTAAACACACAGCTGGTGTCTAAAGCTGGTGGAAACATTCCCCATGAGAAGTGTAGCTACAGTAAATCAGCTGTCTACAAATCACTGACTAATCATCAGAGTTTTCGGATTTCTTTTATGTATAAAATGTTACATCAAATTATACTTCACAACTACACAATATTTTGTGTTGATTCATCACATCAAATCCCAGCAAAATGCATTTAAACTCATAATGTTTATGTCACAAACTGCAAACTGCAGAACAATAGGTTACCTGTCTGTAAAGTGATGGAGGCACTTGGTGGACCCTCACACTGGCTGTTTTTAGCTGTAACCGTGAAATTGTATGAAACACCACAGGCCAGGTTTTCCACCTCACATGTTGTATTGGTGGAAGTGGTGCAGTTGGCTGTGTGGCTATCTCCTCCAACAGCTAAGACAGTGTAGCTCTCCGCCCCAGGGGAGGCGTTCCAGGATATCCAGGCAGAGTTGGTCACACAGTCCAGGTGACCTCTGATGCCTTCAGGCTGGCAGGGAGCTGAGAAGAGGCCAGCAGAGCTGTAAGGATCAGTGAGTGGATGGAGGGATTTTAATGGGAATAGTTATTTTTCCTATTTTTCATACCTGACTGGACGCTGTGCGTCGAGTTGAGCTCACTTTTACAGTCGCCTCTCACAGAGATCACTTGAACAGTGTACGTATCACCACATGTTAAGCTGCCGGTAGAACAAGCAGTGTTCGTAGTGTTGCATATTTCACTGCTTCCTCCACTGGCAGAAGTTAAGGAAACCAAGAAGTGATCGGCATCTCTAACAGCATCCCAGGTAACAGTCAGGTCATTGGACAGACAGCTGAGCTGGGTGTTCAAGTTGTGGGGAGGGCAGGGGCCTGAGAATACACAATCAGCTTAGAAACACATCCATCATGGAAACAGTCGTCTCTGAGCTTCTGCTTTTACCTGACTGAAAAAGCACAGGCAGGCTGGGATGACTGGAGCATTGGTCATCCATCGCCACCACCTGAATGGTGTAGTTTGCACCACATGTGATGCAGCTTAGATCAGAGGCCAAACAGCTGTTGTCACTGCTGCTACTGTTGACCATCACTGAGTGCTTTAGGTCCCCTTGACTGGGAGACCAGGACACAGCAGCCGTGTTGTTGGAGCAATCCATTTTCACAGAGACATTAGTGGGAATGCATGGCACTAACAGAAACAAGACAGTATCATTTCAAACAATGAAGCTAGTAGATAGAAAATAAAGCAATAATTGAATAACTTAGAGCATTCTTCACATTTATTAGCGCCATTGGTTAAGATGTATAAAAAGCTTTAAATTAAATTGATCTTTTATAGCCTTTGAATATTTTTAGACGGAAAAAAAATAAATAAAAATAAAAATAAATAAAAAAAAATCTAATTTTCAATTTGAGTACATTGGAAAGGTCCAACGTTAATAGAAAATGCACAAAGTCGCTGGTGGGACGCATGCTTGCAACCCAATATCACTATAGTTTAGATAATCCATAAAATTGAGTTAAAAAAATAACTGTCTCCACAATATCCCTACATGATATTTACATGTTGGTTTTTTGTTTTAAAGACTTTTATATTAATTCAAGTCTGCTGCTACATTGGACTTTAACTGGAATGGTTTGCTTTTAGTAGGACTGACCAATAATCCAGCTGGGTACGATGTGAAACAAAGACACTTCAAACCAGCAACTGCTTTTCACTGTTAGGTACAGCGGAGGATTTATGATGCTAAGGGCCTGTTTCTCTACTAAAGGTCTGGGAACGTTTTTTGTCGTGGCTCAATGGACTTTTTAAATCATGAGGAAATTTAAAGCAAAATCTAGTGATGGTTATGTTATCTTTGGATTGTTCTGCACGATAATGATCCAAACCAAAACAGTTAATCTGTGAAAAAAAAATAAGCCTAGGTGTAGAGATATCTTAGGCTCCAGAACTAAACACTATAGAAATAAAATAGATTTTTCTTGATCCTATATAATATGTAAATGATTCAAGGGCTTTTTATATTTTTTAAGCTTTGTAAAATTACAAGAGTCGTGATTGATACTTAACATGGATATCTATTGAAGATATCCTGTTTTATAACATTTTCTTGGACTTAATATGGTGGCGAAAAAAATGAAAAACAATGGAAAAAATTGACCCCTTACAGATTTATTCTTTTTTCACAATTTAGATAATGTTCTATATCAAAAATAGGTTAAATAAGTTTTCAAATTAGGATTTATGCATTAATGAAACCAGCTGGCTTTCAAACCTTTTAAATCCGCAAACTCCTTTGATGATCACTGCTCTCACCAAGGCGAACATAATCAGCTTCATAATTATAATCAGCTGTTTAGTGCAGAGCAAATACTTTTTTATATATTGGTTTGTCATTTTTTCCACCTAAGAAAACTGGCTTTGTATTTACTGCACTGTATAAATTATTGAGTACAATTATTTATTATAATGGCCCAATTCATTTATCTTTTTTTGCTGTTACATTCATTGATCTTATTACTTAATTTCGCTTTTAGATGCTAATTAACGGTTGTTTTCATAATAACTCCTCCCAGATTAACATTTAGTAAAACTGCGGAGAATAAAACTAAATTACAAAGAGCCAAAATAGGAGGAGATAAAAACAAGAACAACCTCTTCAGATCAAGTCAAATAACAGAAATAAGTTTTAAAAAATAAATAAATTTCCCCTAAGGCTGCATTCAAACTATTAGTAGATGTAGTAGTAATGCTGACCTGACTGCAGACTTGTAGTTTCTTCAGAGGTGATGTTACACTGCTGGTTGGAAGCTGTGACTGACACAGAGTAGTTGTGCCCACATGTTAGGGCCATAACGCTGCATGAATTGGATTCTGACATGCACTTTTCTGAGATGCCTGTGTCCGTCTGCATGTTGGCCGTGTAGTAATCTGAGCCATTGGAAGAATCCCAGGTTATCTCCACGATGCCAGAAATACAATCCTGGGAGGTGGAGATCCCCACTGGCATGCAAGGCCCTAAAAACAACAATGAAGTGTATTTTAAACTTCAAGCTCTTTGCCTCTGAATTTCAGAAGCCAATCCCACAATCGTTAGCCCCTAATGGTCGTATCCGATTGGTACGCACAGGTTAGGACAGAAGTGGACACACTGGTGTTGTCAGTACAGTGCTGGTTGTAAGGGGTGACTGTGAGGCTGTAGTTTTGACCACATATAAGATCAGAGAAACGGGCTGAGGTGCTGTTGGTGCTCAGGCTGATCACTCTGCCTCCTCCCTCAGCTGAAACCATGAAGACCCCTGTTCTGTCACTGATGTCCCAGTCCAGAGAAACAGCCTTTTGGTCACAGTTCACAGCGGCAGTCACATTCTCAGGCCTGCAGGAATCTGGAAAAGTCCAGAAGGGACATTTTAATCACAACAAGAGTTTATATTTACCACAAATAACAGGGCTGTTTGTTTCATGGATATGAATGCTGATGAAGATTCTTAGTCACCCAGATCATAGTCATCCCGTAAAAGTCCACTGGACTTGGTTTCCAAGGTTTGAAGACATTTCGCTTCCCCTCCAGGAAGCTTTCTCAATTCAAATATCTGGATCCGCAGTGAGTTTGAAGCTTTTTATAGACAAGGCCTTGTATTGCTTGGAAACATGCACATTGAAACCTTCGAGCAGGTCGTTTGGTTCCATTGTTAGCCTGTCATATCTGAAACCTGTCTATGATTGTCAAGGGTCGGTCGTTAACGGAGGGATTGTTCACCTGGCTGATGAGAGGAGGTACTTTGTTCCTCTATGATGGGGTGGGGGTTGCGGTGATACCTTGAAGGGATCATCTCTGTAACTGAATTGTAAGTTTTTGGAAGCTGGAATCTGAGTCCACAACCTCCGTTTAAAATTGTTTTTTCTCTCTTAACATAGATGGCTTCCTTCACGCCCCTCTCAAACCACCTATTTTCTTTATCCAGAATGTGAACATTCTGGTCCTTAAAAAAATGTCCTTTGTCCACAAGGTGTAGATGTACTGCAGAGTCTTGTCCAGAGGAGGCCGCTCTTCTGTGTGGAACCAAACGACCCACTCGTCGGTTTCAATGTGCATGTTTCCATGCAATACAAGGCCTTGTCTATATAAAGCTTCAAACTCACTGCAGATCCAGACATTTGAATTGAGAAAGCTTCCTGGAGGAAAAGCGAAACGTCTTCAAACCTTGGAAACCAAGTCCAAGTCCAGTGGATTGTTTTTAAACTTTTACGGCATGGATATAAATGTTTTAACATGATGCAGAAGTATTCTAAATGTTGAAATTCTCTGTAACGTACTCATGTAGATGACAGAGGAGTTGCTTGGAGAGCTGGTGCAGTTGTCAGCCTGTGCTCTCACTTCCACCGTGTACCACTCCCCGCAGTGCAGGTCGGTCCACGTGCAGGAAGTGGTGTTGGTGAGGCACAGGTGAGTGTGGCCATCCACACCTGTTGCTGTAGCAACATATGACTCTGCACCGTCGCTGGGGCCCCAGCTGACAGACCCCATGTTAAAGTCACACTGCGCAGAGGTCGCCACCTCCCTGGGAATGCATGGACCTGCAAACAGATGATGGGGTAATCACTTTTCTACATACTAATGAAAGGATATCATTGTTAAAAATGCATTTTGTATGCACACAATTTGTTTTCCTTATTCACAGCTCCAAAGCATACAAGATTGGTCCAAAAAATACTAAATAAAACAACATTTGTTAAAACTGCAAAGGTTTTTCACAGAAAGATCAGAAAATTAAAGCTGCATTTTAAAAATAAATACCCCCAACTCAAGACTGTTAATAAATGGATCAAAAAGTTTTCACATTTCCTTTTCAAATATTAGAAACAACTTGAGTTTAATGGTACAATACAAAGGTTCATATCTATTGAATACAGGCCTTCTTCCCTATGAAAATGAACAATGCTCCATTTTTCTCCTGCTTTCAGAAACATGATCAAAACAAAACAACACAAAGTGAAAATGAGAATTTGGAAAACATAAAGGAAATACCCGTTTTGAAGAAAACAGGATTGCTTGGCATGCTGTCACAATGGCTGCCCCGTGCTCGGACAGTGAGATTATAGCTCTGTCCACAGGATACAGGGGCTGAATAAAAGGTTTGGGTGGTGTTGAAGACTTCCATGTACCCAAGACTCCCCATCATTATGACTGAAAAATTGTCAGGGCTGCCTGTGTGATCCCAGGAGAGCTGCACCTCCTCGCTCTCACAGAGCGTCTGAGCAGAGACATTCACAGGTTGGCAAGGCTCTGATAGGTGAAAGAATGAGAAGTGGGAAGATAGTTAGTATGATACCACAGCAGTCTGCTAGTAGAGATAAGGTTAACATTGCAAAGTTATAAATTTAACTTTGAGTGCAGGTTTTCCTTTATTTCTTATCATGTTGCTTAAGTGCTTAAAATTATCTGTGGATAAGTGCAAAATTAGAAAGGTCGCCATGTTCTAGCAGCCACTTCGTGCTTCAGGAAAGAACACAAACATCTGTCTTCCTTAGATTCCATGTTTCTTTTGTCTCTCCTATTTTAAAAAGCTTCTAGAATAAGGCTCTTTATCGTGTCATATTTATATTAATTTCAAATTAAGGAAATCTACAGAATGAGTTTAAAAATACTCCAGCTATATTATTCTCTAATAAGGACTATTGAATCTGACCATTAATTTAAAACTAATTTTATAAGCAAACACATTGAAAATAATTATTTCCTTACATGAGATTTTCCCATTAAATGAAAGTATTGATAATAAAGTATAAAGTCAGAATTCTGCCAAAATGCACTCATGTAATAAATACTCATAATGGGCACAATTTAACTACCCTCTGCATGTGTTTTGAACCTAATATGCGAGCAGATTTAATACCATAAGGCCCCCAATTTATCATAAGCATGAATGCATCATCCTTCTCTGTATGTTGGTATGCTTTTAATAAAACTCTTAATAGCAGTATTTATCACTTGTTCCTCCTTTTGACAGAATTCTGACTTCATATAAAAGATTGAATCCTACAGGGAGAAATAAAGCTACTGTGATAAAAGATGCGGCAATGTTCTGGATTTTCATTCATCTTTTATATGACATGAAGCATCAAACTTATGTTCTTTTTGATCCAAATTTCATTGTAAAAAAAAAAACTTCCTGCTATTTTGAAATTCACCACAGATTTCAGCATATAAAAGAAAAAAAACGCAACAAATGCGGGAAGAGCAGAATAACAGTGTGCCAGTTTTTGCACATGCACCAGTTCAAGATGCAAAAGCCCCTGACATCTTAGTCATTAGATACGATGGAAAGCTTAAAGCGGCCTAAGAGAATCAAAAATATAGAAATGTTTAATTAAATTTGGGATAAAGATAAACATTCTTGATCATTAGCTTTAATGCTTTCCAGAAAAAAATATCAGCGCAATACAATTTTAGACTAAACTAAATCTGGATAACTAAGTGGTAATTTTGTTCTTTTATAAAATAATGAAAACTTTATTAAAGTCTTTCACAACTGGTCAGTTAATCCTGCACTTCCAGTGGATTCACACAGTAATGAAACTTTCCTGTAATGCCAGCAGTCTCTTTCATTCTGCGGCACAGCACGCCTCTTGGATTTAAAACCATTATCTGTTGTGGCAGTTTTGGCTGTAGGTGTATTCAGTAACAGTTTAGGCACTTTAAGCATTCCCAGCTATTTAGGGTTAGGGTTAGGTTAGGGTTAGGTTCAAATCTGGGGGTGTTTCTCTCAGCATGATTTACTTTTACAGTTAAGGATTTCTTTCAACCTCATATAGTCCACTAAAGATCTAAGTTTTTTTCTATTAAATCAAAGAACAACATCCTGTTCCCAGGTATAAAATAGCAACTTAATAACAATATGCATAAACAAAGTATTTCATCATCTCAGGTACCTGTTTGGACGACAATAGGGCTACTGCATGGGCTCCAGCAACCATCACTGTATGCTGCCACCGTAAAATTATAAATTTCTCCACAGACCAGACCAGTGATCTGGCAGGAAAACGATGAGGAGTTGCATGTTTTCAATTCCCCTCCTGATGATTTAATGGCGGTTGCTGTGTACAGTTCAACTTCTGGTTTCACATCCCAGGATATGGCAGCAGTGTTTGTGCCACACAGCAGGCTGACATACACAGGTGGAGGTCTGCAGGGGCCTAGAAAAGGTAGTAAAAGATTGCAGCAACACTGTGGAGAAACAACCTGATTGCTGCCATGATTATCCATTAAAACTTACGGGTGGTGACGCTGATGTGCGTCTGGGCTGTGAGGCTGCATTGCTCATTGGTGGCGGTGAGGCTGAGGTTGTGGGTCTCCCCACAGCTTAGACCTGTTAGGTTACAGTAGCTGTGCTGGGTGGTGCACAGAGTTTGAGGGCTTCCTCCAACAATGGTCATGACCGAAATGTTTGTTTGTGTGCTGATGGGCGACAATATGGTCGGAGAACTCCAGGACACGATGGCATCGCTATCAGACTCACAGCTTACCTTTGCCGTGATGTTAGCAGGTAGACAAGGAGCTGATGAAAAAACATGACACACTTTAACTGATGCACACAAAAAAGACATGGTGGGCCTCTTAAAAGTTTATACACCCCTTAAACATTTTCAGATTTTCTTGTGTTAAAACAGTACAATTAATTTCTGGTATTTAGGTGCTAGAAAAACAGAAGTAGTGCATTACTTTATGTAACGTGACAAAAAACATCTTTTATAGAGAGGAAGCATTGAAGAAAGTGATAAGATAAGACCAAGATATGACATTTAGGCTTAGGTAAATATATATATATATATATGTGTTGGAAAGTTAATAATTGACATTAGATGATTTTGTTCAGGATGGAAAGGGAAGACAGGGTGGTTTTTGAAAATGGAAGGAGACTTCAAATAAGGCTAAAGGATTCACCTTCCAGCCGGACTGTTTAAGTCTATGTGTTAGAATGCTCCAGGCCTAAATGTGGTCAAGGATCTGTGGCAAAAAAATTTGCATCCTGCGTTTTTAATTTGTAAAAAGAATTAAAAGGCATTCATTTTTCCATATCTCCATTATACATTGGTTTTAATTTGTGGATCATAAAAAAAACCTAAACATCACAGTGATGTTTATTGTTGTAACAGCAGAAAGGTGGAAAGGTTCAAGTCAAAACGCAATCTACTCATAAAATAAAATAACTCCTTTAGGGGTCGGGCTCCGGTGCTCTGATCTGCCTTTCTCTGTTGGGTGCAGCCATCTCTATATCTGGCCTCCTTGTGTCCCAGTGATCTGAAGTGCCTCTTGATATCTGTGCCTCTTTCTCTGTTCTGGGCCCAGTAGGGCGACTCTGGGGCAGCATAAACCTGATAGAGAGCGTATTTACCTTTATACACAAACATCTCCATGCATATATACCAAGGGAGTTTGGTTCCAGGTGTTCACTGATATACACCATTACTACAAACTAAGCTGCAGCTACAGATATACCACCCTGAATATTATTGTGCAATCACCAAATTATTCCACGCATAGACTGACTGGTTATCCAAGTGATACCCACTACTCTGGAAACTATTTTGATGTTTACCAACTGTCTTTCGTTGCTTTTTTGTTTTGTTTTCTCTCTTTTCTATCTACTCCTCCCTCTTTCCCGTCTATCTCTCTTTCCCCTTACTTTTATTCCCTCTCTTTCTTTGACCTTTCTTTCCCTCTCTGTGCCCGTTGTATACAATTTTACTCCCTAAATAATTTTCAATAAAATGTCATGCACAAATACCGAGGTTAACCTTATGGCAACACTCATAATGGTCTGCTTGTGAAACCAAATCTGTCAGGCCATTATCTAGCTCTGGGAAATGGATTCTCAGTGCTATATTAGCAAAAAAGGACAGACACAAACACATACAAAAAATGAAATATTTACCCGACGTGAGATTGACCACGGAGCTGTCTGAGCTGTTGTACTGCTCTCCTAAAGCTTTGACCCAAACTCTGTAGATGGAGCCACATATCAGCCCTTGAACAATGCAGCAAACTCCTTCTTCACATTGCCCCATCATACAGTTATCTGGGGTTGTTATCATGCAGGAGGTGGAGTGACCATTTTGGTTGTCCAAGTAGGCGATGTAGCCCACTGTGAAGTCACTCTGCTGCCAGGACACATTTGCAATGAGCTGTTCGCATGACATAACGACTTGGATGTTTGTGGGCGGGCAGGGTGCTGAATTAAAAAAAAATAGACATTCAAAGAAGAAAAATTTGTAAGAAAAAACAGAAACGGGAAGATGCTGCAATTAAGTATACAGGTCCTTCTCAAAAGTGCATAAGTCATAACTGTACATAATTATTTGAAGGTTAACTTTTTCTGTATTAAGAACCCTTTTCTTTTATTGGTCGAATGAAATATGCTAATTTTGTGAGATAGGAATTTTGGGTTTTCATGAGCTGTATGCAAAAATCAGCCATATTAAGACAATAAAAGACCTGAAATATGTCAGTTAGTGTGCAATTAATCTAAAATATATGAATGTTTAAGCTTCATCATTACATTATGGAAAATGATGAACTTTATCACAATAGGCTAATATTTTGAGAAGGACCTGTACATAAACAAGTGACCCACCTGTAATGAGGCGGTGGGGCGCTGAGGTCACAGTGTTGTTGCAGGCCGAGTTTCTGGTTTTGACTGTGATGTTGTAGGTCTGACTGCACTGCAGGTCTGTCAGGGAGCACTGAGCAGTGGTGGAGTTACAGTCGACGATGAGGCCCTGCTCTGTGACAGCCGATACAGAGCTCAAGCTGGAGCCTGTCGCTGCCCACATAACCTGGGCGGCAGTCCCGTTGTAATGGATGGACACATTCACAGGTGGACATGCTTCTGAGGGGAACCGGCAGTGGGCTTATATGAACCTCATGATTGATGTCTTTCCAAAAGTGTAAATATGCTACATTCTCTACCTGTGATGAGGTGTCCTTCCATGGTAGCTGTGCTGTTACACGTTTCTCCTAGAGCCTTTAGGGTGACATTATACTCTACGCCACAATGCAAGGAGCTCAGCTGGCAGCTGGTGGCGTTGGTGGAGCAGCTGACGCTGTGGCCCGACGAAGATGTTAGGACAGCAGCATAGGACTCAGCTCCCACAGTGGGCTGCCAGGAAACAGTAGCAGAGTGGGCCTGACAGTCCAGGGAAGATTCAATACTGTGTGGCTGGCAAGGTGCTGGTTGGAGCAGAGAGAGGAAGACTAATCAGTGGCAGTTCAGGAATTGAACAAGATGACCTTTCACCCAGGGTACTAACTTGTCAGGAAGGCAAAAACAATGAACAACAAAACAGGTATTTGGTCCCTAAATAAGCTTTTATCACCTCAAAAATCCTGAATCATCCTTCTTACATTTTGTCCATGATATTGTAGGTGGGATGATAATAAAACAATCCGGACACCACAAAGGTAATTCAGTTTAGCTGTTATTGTTGAAATGGATTCATAACACCATTGGCATTAATCTTATTGTTAGGGTGTGGGTTGTTGGTGATGTCATCTTTGATGAATTTTCTCTACCTGAGGTGAGTGAAACCACAGAGCTGTCTGAGCTGTTGTGCTGCTCTCCCAAAGCAATGACCCAGACTCTGTAAATGGAGCCACACGTCAACCCAGAGACCACACAACTGGTATCCGTCCGTGTTCCAGTGCATGAGGCGTTTTGTCCACTTTGGTTGCTAAAGTAGGCGACGTAGCCCACAGCGAGATAACTCCGCAGCCAGGACACAGTTGCAGTGAGCTGGTCACAGGATATGCTGGTTTGAACATTTGTGGGCGGGCAGGGCCCTGAAAAAAGGGGAAAACACGTCCATGCAAATATCAATAAAAAGTAACGCTAAAGAGTGAATCTCTGATTTGGTAACACACCTGTTACGAGTTGTAATGTGTCAGAGACCACGTTGCTGCATGCCTGGTTTCCTGCTATCACAGTGATGTTGTACACATGACTGCAGAGGAGGTCTTGCAGAAAGCAGCGGGTGGTATTGGTGGTACAGTTGACCAATGAGCTATTTGATTCAGCCTGAATGTAGTATGAGGTGGCACCTTCAGCAGGGCTCCACATCACCCAGGCACCACTGGCATCATAATCAACAGAAACACTCGTAGGAGCACAGGGCTCTGAGAAGAAGGAAAGAAAATGAGTCCCATCAATGTTCACGTCTCACGTCTTCATGAGTCTATAGATTTGTGTTAAACTCACCTGTAGAAAAGTTGACGGGAGCACTGGCAGGACCAGGGCAGCTAGCATGGATGGCCTCCACAATGACAGAGTACTGCTGTCCACAGACCAGATGCTCCAGCTCACAGGACGCACCCATGTCGATGCAGGACGAGTTGTGTCCTGCAGAGGAGGTGGCCACAGCGCTGTAGGCTGTGGCAGCAGCAGCTCTAGACCAACTGATCAGTGCTGTATGAGTTGTACAGTTCAGATCAGCCGATATGCTAGTTGGAGGACAGGGAGCTAAAAAAGGATAAAAGGGGCAGGTTAATCAGGAAAAAAAAGGAAACGGCAATTTATCAAAAAATTAAGATTAAAAACCGGGTGCAATGAGAACAAGACTTTTTTGTTTCATATTGCTATAGACTTCTTGCTTTGATTAGTGGGACAATTTATTCCAAATCTTGATGCTTACACACTGCAGATCACAATCAAAAGAACATTTAAAAGTTGAGAAATGTGTAGTTTCTTTAGTAAAAAGGGTGAGGCAGGAAAAGAAAAGACTGAGAAGTTAGATGAAGGAAGAATAATTTAGACCAGGGGGGTTACAGGTAAAGAAGGCCTCTGAAAGTGCAACAGCTGAAGATAAAAGTGAAGAGGAGGGAAATTATGTTAACAAAAGTGGTAAATAAGGGATAAAAAAATCTATGTAAAGGAAGGAGATAAGGAGAATCAGAGAAAGCAGCCGATCCAAATAGATTTGGTTTGCTTTGCCATGCATTTTGCCATCCAGTTTAGCAATCGCTGTGCCACAACTTTTTCTGAATTTGGGTCGATTTTTTTTTTATCTGTGAAAATTTTATTTTTCTTGCTTAGCCTAAAGGTTGGCTTTGTTATTGAGAAGCAAAAATAGACACAATAAAAACCTTTAAAGTGTTTTTCTGTTTATATTTTGGTGATTTCATTAAATATAAGAGATTTCTAATTTTTCAGATGAATTGGTCCCACCATGACTAAACCTTTTGTGCCACCTTTGCCCCCACCACCATTTAAAATTTTCTAAATCTGCCACTGTTTAAGGGGCAAATAAGGACCTGCTGCCGTATTATAGAAATTAACAAAGGATTTGCAAAAACAGTAAAGAAATCTATGACAATAAATTCACACCAACGCTAAACACTACAGTCAAAATGATCATAAATATGATTACTACTATTATTATACTATTATCATAATAATAAAAATTACTGTCATTATGATATGAAAAATAAAAACTATCCTTAAAAAGTGCTGTTACCGTACCAGTGTGCCTTTCTATGGGGTCACCCATGTCGCTCACACACACATTGTTGTACCCCGTCACAGTGAAGGTGTACAGCTGACCACAGCTCAGCTCCAGGAAGGAGCAGCTGTTCTTTGTGGTTTCACAGGTGGAGTTCACACCCGAGGCAGACGTGGCTCTAACAGAGTAGTTCTGCACCGTGTTGCCATCCTGCCACCTCACAGTCATCATGTTGGAGCTACAGTTCAACTCAGCGCTGGTGTTCTCAGCTTTACAAGGAGCTGCAGGAGGTTAACCAGAACTTTCCAGTTACAATCATCACTTCTCCACTATGAGTATTTTACAGATCAGAACAGATCAGACCCCAGTCCGGTCCACTCACCAGCCTGAACCTTGTAGTCTGAGCCAGCAATGATTTCACAGTCTATGGAGGAGGAGGTGACGGCCACCTCGTAGATCCTTCCACACCTGAGGTCCTGGATGGAGCAGTGGTTGGATGTTGAGTTACAGGAGGCTCGGTGTCCGTCTGTAGCGATGGCCCAGGCCGTGTACACGTCTGAGCCGCTGGTCTGAGTCCAGTTCACATTCATCGTGTTGGTTTTACAATCTAACTCAGCGATGACGTCGTCTGGCAGACACGGGGCTGAGGGACAAACACAAGGGTGTGAAAAAAAGCAACTATGATTAAAAGTAATATGGGGATGATTCCAAAAATAAAAAACTTCTTTAAACTTAAAATGTATATGGACTTTTAAATTCACCTTTTAATCTAAACTACAAACTTATCTGCTGATAATTGTTAGAATCTAAAGTACATTGCTTATTGCCAATGTTTATTTCTCTTTGTGAGGATTATAATGACTCAGCTGCTTGATATCGAGGGTCAGGGTAGTATTACTATTGATGAAAAACATAAATGGTATTCTGAGTTTCAAAATACAGCAGAGCAGAGGTGTCACATCTCATGTAAACCTACTTCTTTTGTATTGAAACAGCTTAAATGTTTAACAATGGTTTCGTTCTTTTTATGCCAATTTACAACTCTAATACATTCAAGTTGTTTTTTCAATCCTATAGACCTATAGGACAGATGTGTAAAAAAAAAACTCTTAAAATGTTTTTATCCTTCAGTGCAGCAGAACATCATAACAATTACAAGCCAAAAATATCTGCAAGAACCATTCTATGCCTGGTTTGATTAGATTCCTTCAGTAGTGAATTTAATGGTGAGATTATTGTTTTCTTTTGTCAATTCAACACAACTCTTAACATAAATGTTCTCAAATTTAAAATTCACTTCTTTGTGAGTAGCAAGCACAGCAATGTTTCTTTAAGCAGCTTTTCAAAATGGTAAAAAACACAACAGAGACACTCAACAATGGATGATGTTGGTTGATCTTTATAAGTCGGGAAAGTGCTACAGGAACACGTCTAACCATACCTGACCAAATCTAAAAAGGTTTCATGTTATTAAGCTTTTTTGTCAAAGGCTGTGAAAGTATGTTAGGAAGTTTGAAAAATAATCTGAAGCTCATTATCAGAGAGCTGCAGCTAAAACTGGGCTTTGGGATAGATTCAAATGAAAATGATCAGCTTGGTACCAAACTCTCCAGAAACATTATATTGTAAAGCACAGTAGAGGGTCTGTGATACTGTGGCTCTGTTTTATTGCAGAAGGCTTTGTTAGAATGCATGTTGATCATTTTGAAGAGTTTGTTGCAGTTACGGCTTATAATCACAGGTGTCTGACAGTAAATAGTGGAAAAAGAAGGTGGAGGCAGTAAATGTTCCAAGGCTGGAAACTGTATCCAAGAAAATTTTATGGAAAATCTGTCAGGAATGATGCAAGGAATGTTGCGGAAGCTTTGGTGTGTTTTGTTTAGTTCACTGTACTTTTGGTTAAGGCAACACAGAGAACGTCGTGTTTGTTTTTATCCCTGTCTGTCACATGGATTCCCTCCATCCAGCCTCAGGGGTGATTCAATGAGCAAGACATGAGCTAGACCATTGACCATTTCACATAAAAAAAAAAAAATTATGTTTTTCCTATTCTTTTCTTTCTTCACTGAATGATGGCACTAAAATCGAAGGTTGGATTAATTTTAAAACTTCTATATGAAATTATGCTTCTTGAACATGGGTGCTTTTCAGAAACAGAGAGCCGAACTGCACTAAGCCATCTTTATAAATTTGGCTTCAGACATGGCAAACACTGAATGATGGGATCGTCTTGTCAACAATCTGAAAATGAAGGCTTTTCCCCTTTAACCTTTTAACTGAATGCAGATGTAGTTTGGATGTAAATCATGTCTATTCAACCTATTTTTGCTTGGTGGGTAAGAACAATTATAATAGGGTACAGATTGTCTCTGCATTCGTTTAGAAATCTTCCATGTAATCAATGATAAAGAACAAATGCTCAGCATATTAAAGGTGTGTATTATGTAGAATCATATATTGATTTAAACAGCACCGATGTATAATCATGATCATAGCGTAATAAGCAAAGCCCTCTAGAAAATCTAGTCAGTTTTCTGTGATTTATTTGGAAAATATAGATTTTGTTCTCATTCACATTCCTGCCTATCAGTTTTCAGCAAACCCTCAGTTCACATTTGTTCCTGCCTGACCTGCTGTATGAAAATGTTCTAGATCCACCACTGGACAGTGTCTCACCAGAGTCAAAGTAAATGTCTGTGTGTCTGGTGCTGTTGCAGTTCTCAGTGGAGGCCACCAGAGTTGCAGAGTATGAGTGGCCGCAGTCAAGCTTCACAGCGCAGGAGGTGTCATTGGACGAGCAGGAGGCTACGTGGCCGTGCTCCCCAGTAACCTCCACCACATAGAAACTTCCTCCTTTACTTTCTGCCCAGGAGAAATTCCCGTTCTTTGTTCCACAGTCCACACGAACGGTTAGGTTTGTGGGCTGGCAAGGAGCTAAAAAAAAAAAAAAAAAAAAAAACAATTTTATATTTTATTAAGGATAATTTGCACAGGTAAAATTTTCCCTCAATAAGTTTTCCTACCTGTACTTATTTCTATGGGTGGACTGTAGATACTCCTGCAGTCTGTCTCCTCTGCTGCAACGCGGAAACCATATCTTTCTCCACAGACCAGATTTGAAACAGAGTGAGAGATGTTCGAGGTTATGTACTCTGAGGGAGGAGATGTTCCCCCTATCCTTTCCCACTGCAAAACATAGGTTGCCCCTATCACCGGATCCCATGTGAGGGTCAAAGTGTTGGTTTCACAGGTAAGATGACCACTCAGATTGGCAGGTGGACACGGTGCTGGAAACACATGGAGGAAAACAATTAAGAGAGTCTTGTTGTGTTATTAGGCCTTCATGTGTTAGCACGTTCCTCTTCTAACCTGCTTTTAGCTGCACTGCTTGGCTTGGCTCACTCCAGCAGCTTTGGTCCAGTGTTACCACTCTGACAGCATAGGTTTCCCCACAGTGTAGGTCAGTAAAGTTGCACGAGCTTGAATCATTCGAGCTGCAAGTATGATTGTGTCCATCATCTGCCGTAGCTGTCGCTATGTACATCTCTGCCCCAGTCACTGGAGTCCATGAGATGGTGCTGTTCTCACAAGCAGGAGACACAGAGACGTTGCTTGGAGCACAAAGCCCTGGAGAGAGATGAGGTGTTTAATGTCTCTGCTCTGAGCTGAAATGCACACAATACAGAGCAATCGGTAAAATACTTCATATCCATGTTTACCGGCTTTAAAGCTGGCCAGTGAACTGGAGGCTCCTGTGCATGTCTGTGAGTATGGTGTGACGGTAACGCTGTAGGTTTCCCCACAGTGGAGGTCAGTGACGTGACAGCTGGTGGAGTTGGTGTGACAGAGGTGGGTGTGTCCATCCTGGCCAGTCACTGTCACATTGTGTCCAACAGCACTGGGACTGCTCACCCAAGTTATTATAGCAGAGTCACTGCTGCACTGTGTGACGGCGCTCATGTTCTCTGGGGCGCAAGGGACTGGAAAGGGAATCAAAGATCACATGTATTGACATTTTCTGGTGTAGATCCAAAGAAAACAGTGTAAAGGGAAGGGAGAAAGATGACTGATGGTTTTTAAAGGCATGTAACAATGAAAGTATACTCTAAATAAACTTAATTAACTCTGACACTGCTGAAAAAAATCCAACACAAACCAACTTTCTTGAGGAGTCCACTAATAATTAAATAGGAGTCCATCCGTGTGTGATAAGAGAATAATAAGCCATTCCATTAAGACCTCATGTTTGAATTGCTTTGTAATAATATCCCAAACTTTAAAAACCTCACAAAGCACAATTTATTTCCATAAACTGAAAATGAAAAGATCAGAGTTCAACTGAACTAACTAAGACATGTCTGTCCGCCTACACTTACAGATGGGGCAAGGAGTGGATTTATTAGAACATTTATTCCGCTACTCACAGGGAGAATCTGTTGACAGGACAGCTTTGATTGGTGGGCTTCAAAAATCTGTTCTTTACAGAGGAATAACAAATCGAAAGCCGCTGTTGAATAGGAAGCAGAGCTCCTGATTGGACATTCCTCAAGTCATATAGCTTGTGGCAAATAAGTAGAGGAATGTGACAACAGGATTACATTTTCTGGTCCACATTTGGCCTTGATTTACAGAGGAAACCTAACACTGCACATTATTATAAACACACCATACCTGCAGTAAAATATGTTAAAGGGTGCATCAAGCTGAAACTAGGAAAACAAGTCAGAATTATGGAAACTTAGAAGCAGCTAATCGCATTCCAATACTGGAGGATTACCTGATAGAATAAATGTCAGACCAGGGAGCCTTAAAAAGACCTTAAATATATGGAAGGAGAAGCAAGTTCCTACAAACCTCAACATAACAAGAAGTCCAAAGTAAGATACGTGAAATCTAATCTGACTGAGCTTGATGACTTTTGCATAGATTTGGTAAAATATTAGCCCCCTCTAAGACCAGTTATGCAAAATATGTATAGAATTGTGATTTAAATACCTGGGCTGGTTTTAGGAAGATGTTATTTCAACTTATTGCATGGGCTATATAACTATTAAGAACCAAAATTATTTCTCATTCAGCTTCATCACAATTTCTTTTACCCTTCATGTTGGTAATATCAACCTGCCCAGACAGAGTCTAATGGTGGAAACTTATTTTAATGACTTGTCAGGATGCATCTTTCCTTTGTTAAGACCAATAAAATATTGTACATCGTCTCTGTACAGGTTGTCTGGTGGGCTATAAAGTTGTTTCATCCTTTTCAGGTTTCTATTTGTAACATAGTTGATGACCATGCCCTTCTGATTAAGTACAATCCAGTTTTTACCTGCAATGTTGCAACATGTAACTCTGTTAAAGGAGTTTTGACTTTAAATGTACCCTTGTTTTTAAGGAAATCTGAAAGTGCAATAAAGCAGCTGGTTCTAATAGTCATAAAATAAGAATAACTTTTAAAACGCTGTGGTTTTGAGGTGAATCGAGTAAATTTACTGACCTGTTTTTAGGGATGCACTGGTGCTGATGCTGCTGTTGCACTCGGCTCCCATAGCTTGGACCCTCACGTTGAAATCAAAGCCACAGGGTAGGTTTCTGAACATGCAGCTGGTGTTGGTAGTCCGGCAACTGTCTTCATGCCCATCCCCTGCTACTTGAACAAAGAAGCTAAAGCGCCCCACGGTATCAGACCAGCCAATCGTTGCTGTGCTGGTGCTACAGTCGTACTGCTTAGAGGTGACGACTGGGGGACAGGGGACTGGAAAGAAGCAAGGAAGGGAAAAGGTGAGTTGTCTGAGTATACTTAAATATACATATGTGAGGAAATGACCAGTAGCACACCTGTGGTAACGTTGGTGATAGGTCCAGGCAGACTGTCACATTTGTTCCCTCGTGCAGTAACTGATGCTGAGTATATCTGACCACACATGAGGTCTGTAAGGCTGCATGAAGCTGTATCTGAGCTGCAAGAAACACTGTGTCCATTCCCAGCCGTAGCATTTACTATAAAATCTGTGGCACCAGCTACTGGTGTCCAGGTGAGGAGGGCAGAGTTGTTTCCACATGTCAGAGTGCTGCTCTGGATGGATGGAGAACATGGAGCTGAGATTGAAAAGAAAATGAGCAGGGATCAGTATTCATTAAAATGCCAGGAATCTGGTCTTTTTCCAACTATTTTATCTTTCTAACCTGTCACCAGGGTTCCTGTAGCCCCTCCAGTGCTGTTACAGGTGGCATCTTCAGCCAGTACTGTGAAATTGTACACTTTTCCACACTGCAGCTGTTTTAGCTGACAAGAAGTTGTGCTGCTCTTACAGGAAACATACCGATGGGATCCCCCTTCTTGAGCAAGAATGGTGTGGGCTAAAGCTCCGGCACCACCACTCCAGGACACTGTGGCAGTGTCTGAACCACACTGCAGGATGCTTGTCACATTTACCGGATCACATGGGCCTGAAGAGCAACAGGGAGATTAACATTGTACCTCCTAAGACGGTTTGAGAATCAAAACATGTATATAAAAAATAAAATATAGAAACAGGACCTGTTGTTGCTACAGTTTGAATGGGAGCACTGATGCAGAGGCTGCCCTGGGACGTCACCTGGACGGTGTAATTGCTGGCACACTGCAGGTCCAAGAAATAGCACGTGAGATTTGATGTGGAGCAGTTTTCAGAAAAGCCATTAGGACCCATCACTGTTGCTGTGTAAGAGGAGGCCCCAGGAGAAGCCTCCCAGGAGGCCACAAGGGAGTTTGTGCCACAGTCAGTTTCCACTGTTAGCTTCTGAGAGGCACAGGGACCTGACAAGAGAAGATATAATACATTAGAAATGTAAAGAGCCAGTTTATGTCCTATTGAAGGATGAATGACTTTAACAATGTACTCTCATTACCTGTCTGGACAGTCTGTATTGGGCTATATAGTCCACTGCAGATGTCAGAAGAGGCATTAACAGAGATGTTAAGAGTTTGCCCACATTGGAAGCCCCTGAGAACACAGCTAGAATTGTTAGTGTTGCAGATGATTGGACTGCTTCCATTCAGAGGCACGGCCATCACGCTGTAGCTGAGGGGTAGAGAGGAGGATTCCCAGCTCACGGTTAAGTCGTTTGTGTCACACAGCCAGTCTGTAGTAATGTTCTCAGGAGCACAAGGCACTATAAGAAACAACAAAGTGGATGTAGCTCTACACAAAAAAAGCTGAAAAAAATGTACACAAAAAAATATTTTGCAATACAAAGTAATGTAACTCAATATTTTTGGCTAAACCAAAACAATGATTGATGTTCTGTCAAGTAAATTATTACTTTTGTATCAAATAATCCAAATAAATTAGTTCCATATTCTGAAATGTCTCTTTCAGGGTTATTGAATGCATAAAAACCAACTAATCCAATAGAAACAAGATTCTCAGATGACTAGACCTCGGCACTATATTACAAAATTAAACCAATAATCTACAATTAGCTACAAACAACATTTTGCATCATATTTACTTGTTTAAATGAAACATACTGTATTAAAACCAAGATAAGAAAATAAGATCTTAAACAGGTTTGTTAGTAATTTATTACCACTAGGGCTGTCCAGATCCTATATTGATATCGGAGATTGGTTTGATATCAGACAAAAAACAAATATCGGAATAAATCAACCTGCATCTAAAACCTCCCATATTAGAAAGCTCATAGAAACACTTTGCTTCTATGCTTCTATTCATTTTCTATGGAAAATGAGAAATGGGTCCGTTGTGATCCGACCAGATGTTAAGTATTGTTCTCTTTTTAAGTAAGATTAGTTAATCAAGCCTTTTCTATCAATTCACACTTTTAGATAAGTAAGAATTGGGTTATTATAAGTAATTTTAATTTTTTAAAGCTGCAATATTGATATCGTATGGGAAATGAACAATCTGTATGGGATACCCCTAATAATAATCTAGAAGCACTTAAGTATGGCAGTTAAAAATAATCCCCTTTTTTTTAAACAGTGGTTGAATTACTTGTTTTATTGTCAATTTATATTTAATATATTACAAAGCCAAAGATTGCATATTGAGAGACAAAATAAACTCCTTGTTACATATTAGGATATACCGTCTGATTTAATCAAATAACCCTCCTTACTATTTATCATTTGTATTTTTACTTCTAATCTCCTCTGTGCTGAAATTGACTATAACAACTAATAGAAATAATAACATATGCCTACATCTTTTAAACCAATAAAAAAAATAAAAAATAAGTATTAAATAGAATATGAATGATTCCGATTTTCGTCTGGCCAACTAGTTTGTTTTCATTTAGTACCTGATTCTTGCCTGTAGGGGGCACTGTAATTGCTGTTACAGGTACCGTCAGTGGCGGACACTTGTATGTCATACACTTGGCCACAGACCAGAGGACTTATGGTGCAGTTGGAGGAGGAGCTGCTGCATGTGAGGCTCTGATCAGTGCCGGTGGCCTTTACTTCATAGCCTACTGCATTCATGCTGGGGGTCCAGGAAACCTGAGCAGCTCCGGCACCACAGATCACCTGGCTGGTCACATTAGAGGGAGAGCACGGCTCTGGAAAGAGAAGTGGACTTCCTTCAGTCATCATCTGTTAGGTTTTACTTAATGCAAGGTTTTTAGCCATAGTTACCTGTTCTAAAAGACAGGGAGTTGCTCTGTAGACCTGAACAGCTACCATAAGCTCCTACAACACTGATGGTGTAAACTTCCCCACAAAGGAGACTGGTAAGGTTGCAGGTTGCTTCATTGGTGGTGCACTCAGCCCTGTGACCTTCGCTACCTAAAGCGACGGCAAGGAAGAGCTCAGCATCCCCACTGTGAGTCCATGATACAGGAATGGGATCCGGAGCACAAGTGTGCTTCACCATAACATCGGTTGGAGGACAGGGCACTGACCGAAAACAAAAGCAAGGCATTGTTGTTAGGATGAACTCAACAAAACTTCATCACATTCTTTCAACCTAGTTTATAAGGTCCTCACATGTTCGCACCACAACCTCTTGACTCGGTAGGCTGGAGCACGTCCCAAAGATGGAGTAAACTGACACAGTATAAGAGCTTTCGCACTGCAGTCCTGCCACAGTGCACTCGGTCTCTGTGGAGTAACAGAAGATTGGCGGGCCCATTGCTGTGGAGATTATGGTGGTGTAGTTCACTGCAGGAACGGAGATGCTCCAGGAGACCTTCAGCTCATCAGAACTGCAGCTGACACTGGCATTGACATGCTCAGGACCACATGGCACTGAAATTGAAATAAACAAAACATTAAAGAGTCCCATGGAAAACTTGTTTAAAAAGGGTTGGGGGGAAAAAAACTTTATTACAGGCAAAGGTAACCTGTTTTAATATAAAGATGTTTTCAAAAGATTATTTTATCTGCAAATAAGTCTGCTAAAGAACTGTGAAGATACCCATCAATGCTAAAGAGTCTTTAAGCATGAATAGGGTCTAATAAGATTCCCATCAGACTTTGACTATGCAAGTTTTGTGTTTGTTTGTTTATTTTTTACTTATTCAAAGGTAAATCAAGCAATATCTATTAATAGGTAAATCATTTTTCACAACTCTGTATGTCATTTATGCCTTTGATTTTATCCCGACAATAGTAGATTCCTTTTAAAAAAACTACAGGACTCTAACTATAGGAGTCGCTCAGGAGAGAATACCCAGGAGAGAACCCAGGAGAGAATAACTTGGAAATACCAGAGTCCATGGTAATAGATGTTGAGGTGGACTGGCACTGCCCATTGCTGTAGCTAACAGTGACGTTGTATGTCTTTCCACATGGCAGTGACATGATAGTGCAGTTGTTGACTGAGTCACTGGTGCAGTTGACCTGAGGCCCGTCCTGATCTTCTAACCACGCCGTGTAGATGCCTGATGTTTGGATGTGCTGCCAGGTTATCACAGCATGGTTAGCATCACAGTCTCTGAAAGCCTCAATGTTTGTTGGAGGGCAAGTTGCTGATGAGAACAAGGTCATTCAGATCATTCCTGAACAAATTTGGTTTTATAGATGAACACAACTTCAGCTGGTTTTCTTATACAATCACCTACCTGTCATGAAATGAACCTCATGACTTGCCGTACTGTTGCAGGCAAAATTTGTGCTGATGACTTTGACAGTGTAGTTCTGTCCACATGCCAAGCCTTCTATTGAACAGGTATTCGCCAGTGAATAGCAGTGGCGTGAATTTCCATTTGCATCCTCAGCAAGTGCAATGTAGAATATAGTTCCAGAGCTCGGTGTCCAACTCACTCTTGCAGAGTCCGCCTTGCAGTTTGCTGATGCGAAAACATTGACGGGAGTGCAGGGAACTGGAGAAAGGTGGGAACACCACAGAAATGTATACCTTAGCTATCACTGAGCAGAAATGAAACATTTATAATGTCAATGCAGTCCCTGTACGCACCAGTCTGAGCAGACTCTACCAGCAACTTGTCAGTGGAGCAGTTGTCATTGGAGGCCATGATCCACACACTGAGTTGTTCTCCACATGGCACACCCGTTATTTCGCAGGTGTTGTTTGGCGAGGAGCAGTTGTAGGTTTTACCGTTGTTACCTTTAGCCTCAACAGTGTATGATAAAGCTCCTTCAGAGGAGTCCCAGGTTGTGTGGAGAGTGTTTGTGAGGCAGTTAGTTTGTGTCACCACATTTGTTGGTAAACAAGGAGCTGTTTGGTATAAGATGTAAGGAGTCAACCAGTGATACGGCACAGCAGTGGATTAGAGGCTAATGCAAGACATACAAGGTGGCCCTTTGATACTTACAGCTATAGATGGTTTTGGGTTGGCTGATCTGGCTGTTGCATTCTGAGCTCACTGCATACACACTGTATGTGTAAGACCGACCACACTCAACATTGGTGAAGTAACACTTCCTATCTGGAGTCATGCACGGAGTCATCAAGCCCTTGTTGTCCACAGCCTTTGCGACATAGTAGAGGGTGTTATTGGTGGGTTCCCAGCTGAATTTGAGGACGTTGGAGAAACAGTCATGTGTGGTCTTGAGGTCAACAGGAGCACAGGGAACTATGGGTGGTGGTATGAACACACATTAAAACTTTGTTAACAGTAAACAGGAAACGTATGAGACTTTAATCATTCCAACATTTTTTTTCACATTTTATCAAGTTACACCTCTAACTAGTTTTGTTTTGCTGTTTTTTTATCTGATAAATAAAGGCAGGAAACATTTGAAAGAAGGTGGTCTGGGCTATACAAACTATTCAGGACCTGATCTTTAGAATTTTTTTTGTTTTGTCTTAAAAAAAAGAAACATGCAAATGCATTTGTACGCACGGAGCAGATCATCAAAGGTGTAGAATTATATGCAATTCAGCGGATAGATTGTGAAAACTATTTTTCATATATTTGCCTTCATCAATATGCAGATTTATTATTATAATGCCCAAACTGTGCAACTCAATGAGTGGAGGATATGCAAATGTCAATATTTACACCATGCAAAAGATTTCCTAGATCCGAAACTCAACTGCGGCCACAGTTTTTGCATCTTTTTATAGCAGTGTTAAGACGGTCAGAAGAAAACTCACATGCTAAATTTTCTGCTCTGAATGTGGCTACAAAGGTGTGGCTATATTGGTACAATACCAGATAATGTCCATGTGATTATATTTGAAATGTCAAAAATAACCATAGTAGAATAATATTCAAAAAAGTTACAAAGAGAAAAGTATACAGGATTGGCACAAATATGCCGTGGTTTTCAACTTCATACTTCTTTTAAGGTCCTCTCTCAAACTGTCTCCAGGTCACGCATTATCATGGGGCTTAAACGAACCAAATTACCACATCTTAGCATTTACACAGCAATCTTTGTAGATAAATGGAAATGGAAAAAAAAAATTGGCATGTTTGATTTAATGCACCTTATTTTGAAATTTGTTCTGCAGATGCAAGGCTGAAAGAGAGATTATACTGTATACATGTGCTAAATACTATATTTAGATTTAGACATTTTCTTTGTAAGTGTAAAAACTGTGCATCAGCTTTTCCAATTTCATAATTGGCACTGATTTATGTTAGTCGGTCTAAACAAATCACAATAAATGGGATTCATGTTTGTGGTTGTTGATAAAATGGAAATTTGCTTTGAGTTTCAGACTACAGTAAATGTATGCTAGCTTCCTTCTCCTTCTTACTCCAAGCCAAAACTGACCTTAAAACAACTCCTGTTTCAATAGACTGTACAGGTTTTAAGTTTCACTGCATTCTCACCATCAGAAAGAAAATCAGAGTCACTGGAAAGGACCTAAACAGCTTCCCTCAGGGAAATCTATGATTAAGACTGCATGTGTGACACAGTAAGGGTAAAACGATGCTTTTAAGACAATAAAAACAGAAACAAATACTAGTAAAGCTAGAAAAGCAGCCTGTCCTCACCTGTCTCAAATGTGGACATGATTGTGGGGGTGCTCTCACAGTCATCAGAGATGGCTGTGACGTGGACCTGGTAGTTCTCTCCACACTTGAGCTCTGAGATCGGACAGCTGGTGGAGTTTGATGTGCAGTTCAAAGAGTCCCCCGTGCCATCGACAGCTACGGCCCTGTACATGTGAGCCCCATACACCACATCCCAGGTTACCGTCACCCTGCTGGTGGAGCAGTCGTATTTCACAGACACTGTGGTTACTCCACCTATAGCTGAGGACAAATAAAATACATGCATTTTACACAGCAGCTTTTCATAAATCTTCTTTTTACCTATCACTAATTAGTCATATACACTTTGATTGGTCTGATTTTTGCCAGATAAATAAAAATAAGACTCTTTAGTGTAAACGTAAGCAAGCTTATTAAATCAAAGTAGAGTTTTGTTTTATAGATGTGTTTTATAAGCACATACTGGAATAAAACTATGTGTAGGTACTTACTAGTTGTATTATATGTGACTACAGAGGGCTCTCCAGCAACCAGGTAGTAATTAAGTGAAGATACTTCCACTATGTAGATGGAGCAGGGCTCCAGTTGACTGATTTCCATGGATACAGAAGATGTTGTTCTTGAGATGTGTGGTTTGTCCGGCTTGCCGGTGTCCGTCACGGTCACTTGGTAGCGCAGGACATTGCTCACAATGTTCCACTTCACTAGGGCTGTGCTCTTTCCAGTTGAGCTGACTGTCACACCAGTTGGTGGCTGCACCACTACCAGCACAGTTAACAGGTTCAGATCATTAGTTAAGAGTATAATGATTCTTGCCAACACAAAGAATTCAATTTGGCTGCTGATTAGAAGCATCTGGGCCAACAGAGGGTCCACAAGAACATGGCTTATAATTCATATATCTTATTTATAGACATATTTTTGTGAAGAATAAAAGAATGGTAAATAAAAAAGTACGTACATGTCTCTATTGTCCTTGAGTTGCTTTTGGCTCCTCTCCCTGCATTGTTGGAGGAGAAAATATAACATGTGTACAGTGTTGATGGAGTCAATCCATCCATTTGTCCTCTGCGGCTGGTGAAGGTACGGTTGTAAACTATTGGAGTAGAGCCTAATGTCCTTTCCACAAACAATATGTAGCTGTCCGCCCCTGTCACATTGGTCCACGTAAACTCTATGGAAGTGCTTGAAATAGCCCGGGCAGATGTAAACTCAGATACAGCAGGCACTGTGGGAATGGGACAGAATTCATTTCAAATTATTTACACATTCTTTTTAAATTTTTTTTAGAATTACACTGAGGACTGTTTACCTGTGTTGGCTATTTTAGTAACTTTGCACAGTAGACCCAGATTTACATCAAAGGCCGACAGTGTGAGTTCATAAAAATGCCCGTGTCTTAAACCGTTCACCAATCTCTGTGTGCCTAACACTTGCAGCTGCATCACTGGGGTAGTGCCGGTCAAGTTCATATCTTTTAAAGTTAAGTTATAAAATGCAGCTCCAGAATAGCTTTGCCACTTTACGTCCAGCTGGGATGCTGAAGGGGATTCCACTGAGACTATAACACACTCTAGAATAAAGAGAGGAGAGACATTTAATACGTTTCTGAATACATGGAAATGCAGGCAGTTCAAGAACAATATAAGGGTTTTCTGAGCAAATCTGTGGAAATAAATGTAATAAAAAATAACTGTATTCTTTCATCTTGAGTTTGTCTTAGCGTAAATGCCATGTTTAAACCACATGTACATGATAGAAGTCATCCAGGGGTTTCCAAGAGGGGCTCTTTATCAATGACAAAATTATTTCTTTTGCTTTTAAATTTGTTTCTGGTATGTGCAAGTGTTGTCCAATATTTATCCATTTAATTTCTCATGTGATAAAATGCTAAATAAAGCCTTATTTATATGAAAAGAACAATAATTAAAACTATTTCAGTTTTAGCTTCAGATTTTCATTGTATAATTATACTTCAAAGGCAAAGACAAAACATCTCACCTGCAGCCAAACTATAATGTATCTGAAAAATAATAAATTAGAACCAGTTAATAAACATAATGAGTATGAATAAACAGTTGTAGTGTGATACACATAAATACCTGAAGAAGAATTAATAGGGCAGAGGATGAATAAAACAACAGCATCTTATCCATTGTTGGTCTTAATCCCTCTGTGGGTTGATCTTCTGTGGATGCTTCAAAACAGCAGCTTAATCTAACATCTTTACAAGCCCAATGCTGTAGATCAACCCTGTGAGAACCAATCAGCAGGTCCTAAAAGAGAACAGGTGGATGCCTGAGGGGCAAGGAGGAAACAAGGAGGTGATCACACTTTCAAAACCCCCTGTCTTTTGTGTCAGTCATTTGTCCTTTATATGCATGGAACATTTTGTTTTACATGTTAACTTGAAACACATAGTTTTATGAATAACAATACAGCTCAGCAGACTACAAATCAGCAGTATATCAAGTTTATTGCTGCTTTTTTCCGACAAATTCTAATGCAGTAACCAGATATGGTGACTCAGCAGTGATGTCAGTTTTCTTGAAATAATGTTGCTTATGAAACATCATGTACGGAGTTTAAAAAACAATTTCAGCTATCTGTGTTTGCAGAAGCACACTGCATGAGACGTCAGGACAGGTGCCAGGGTCTACAACATCAGACAGGACCCAAACTAAGGGTTTTGAAAAGACATCCTTGAAACTAGGCAGTATTGTAGGTGGATGTATAGGCACAGATATGGCCATTGCCAAGTAACTGGAGTAGTGCACAGGCACATCTGCACAGAGTCGAAGATAGACGTCCACCCATCAAGAGTGGCAGACACCATGAAGAGTGGCTGTGAATAGTGAGACAGCTCTCAGACCTGAAACCCTGAAAATGTTTGACTTTATATATATGTGATAAATAGGATGATTTTCCACTTACAGCTACAACTTTGAGATTGAAATATTATATCAGAATATTACCCACCATAAACCTTTATAATCTAACAATGTGTACATTTATTAAATTTATGCCCAATATCTGCCTAAAGCTTATTTTCAATACAACTCATCCAATAAAAAATTGTTAGAACTGTAAATTTACAGTCATTTTTACTATTTTTCAAGGCTGCACTTTTAAAAGATGAAATTGTCCAGTGAGCTTTTTTCTTTTAATTCCTAAAAAAACATATGTTTTCTTGTTTTACAAACCATTATCTTATATATATAAAAATAAAATAAATATAAATATAAAACCTCAATACAAAATATGCAGTGATGTAAAACATTTCAAAGATATTTTTTGCCAAGAGAGTTTCTGTAACCTGAAACAAAACATATGAAACTAAAAAGCACACATGGCTTCAGGCTTCTCTTCTTTATTACATACTCTCATTTTAAAGGCTCATTGTACTCTATTTGGTCTGTTATATAAATGAATGTGATAGTTTGTTTTTGTCAGGGTTAGTGGATGTTTGTAGAGGACTCAAACCCTGAAACGGAAGGCAGATATAATTTCATTTAGAGGTAGATGGTAACAAAAGTATAAATTCAGAAAATACAGGCAAGGAACTCGAAAACCAAAACTAGGAAACACTCGGGAGAAACATACACAAAGAATAATAATAATCCAGCACTGAGTAACTGCAGAGAAGGGAAAAGATATTTTGATACAGATCTTTTCAGTAGAACCTGAATGTATCTAAATTTTTCTGAAGTTCTGTGTAATTTGGCTAAATGAAGGCTTCACTGCCCATACAGTGCGTTTACTGCGTTGAGTATTTTCCATTTCTTTCTATATATTATGATCACACATTTAAAAGGTGAAATATGAGGTTCTTTTGTGTAGAATTGGGGTTTAATTTACTAAATTAAATTGAACTAGTTAATTTATAGGTTTGTAAACTTTGTTCGATTTTGAAAAAATGAACTATGAATGTGCGCTAGTGCATTTTCATCTGTGTTTTTAACTATAAACTGTCCCAACATTGCTAGAGAAAGCCTCCGTCTCAACATCAGATTAATCTCTATTGGTACCTTTGATCAACTTCCTCTCCTAGTAAGTGTGTAGGGCCTTTGACCTCTTCCATCGGTCCACTGATTAGGGGGGCATCCGGGCCTTGGGTGCTGGAGTTCTCCATTGGTGAGGTCACTGGGGCGTTGGATGTGGGGTCAGGTACTTCTGCCAGGGGGGTGATAGGAGCTTTGCCCTGTGACTTCTGTTGGCTGGGTGCAAGGTCTTAGTGAGTCTGTATCAGTGGGAAGGGGTTACCAGGTTGGAAGCAGTGTCATCCAAGGATAGATCTGGGGTGGGCTTGGGGAGCCTGGGGTTTTATGGGGGGTACTCCCCCATAAAACCCATACCCCCCACGTTACTGAGGGTTAGGGTTAGGGATTTGAGCTAGATGGGAGATTCTAATGGTTAAATACAGGTATGGTGGGGAGGCGAGTGTGCCACCTGGGACTGGGCATTGCCTGAGTCATTGCAACTCAGGGTCAGGTTCTGGTACTGTACTGCCCCCTCTGGTTGGTAATGCATTCCTTCAATGGAGTGGGTTTTACGCGTCTTAGGTTTTGGTGTGGTCTGTCTTCTCATCCCCCAGATGTAGGAATTGGCCCATTGAGCGGCCTAGTTGACTGCCAGGCTATTGCTGGCTCTTCCAGTCCCTTTGAATGTGATGGGTATGTGGTCATTACTGCTGGGTTTTGGGAGTCAGTTTGTCCCACTGTTTTATATTGGTAGTGGTTTATCGTCCACTTTGGTGTATGTGTGGGGTCACTCTGGTTGTCTTCTGATCTGACCGTGGCTGCTCTCGGGCCGAACTGGGGATATTGGGGGCAGGGGCAATGACAAACTTTGTTTGGGGGCACCCTACAGTTTGCCTTTACCCCTAGTGTGACTCAGAGTTAATCTGCTTAGCTGCTTATTTCTAGGACGAAACCTCCTTTTATACAGTGCTAGTTTATTTTTGTCTTTTGTAACAGAAATTGTTTATGGTCAGACTTATTATGTTCCTTTTGTGTGTCTGCTTCTGTCTTCTTAAACTCCTTGGCTGAAGATCGCTACTGGAGGTTTCTGCCTGTTAAAAGTGAGTTTTTCCTCTCCACTGTTGCTGTATGAATAATCAGTGTGGGAATACTGAAGAGTCAACAACATAAAGCAGGTGAATATCTAATGTCACCACATCTTCATCCAGGAGGAAAAAAGTCTGCAAAGTCAATTCCTCAATGCAATCCATTGGTTTTTTCATTTTAAACCAATCTGTCAGGAGGATTTGATGTAATGTCTTTGTAAGGTGCCCAGTGGCGTCAGAGGTTTGTTGTTCCCCCAAAAAAACTATGAAGCATTTTTACAACATCAAGGACATATTGGAGGAACAAAATTATCAGTATATTAGTATAGTAAAAAGATAATCCATCCATCCGTTTTCTATCACATTTATCCCAAGCATGGTTGCGAGGAGTGCTGGTGCCCATCTGCAGCTGTCTACAGGCGAGAGGCGGGGTACGTCCTGAACAGGTCACCAGTCCATAGCAGGGCAACACAGAGACAAACAACCATTCCCACACACGTTCACACCTAAGGAGAATTAGAAAAGCCAATTAACCTAACAGTCACATTTTTGGACTTTGGTAGGAAGCTGGAGTACCAGGAGAAAATCCACAAATGCTCAGGGAGAACATGAAAACTCCATGCAGAAAGATCCCAGGGTGTGATTCGAACCCGGAACCCTCTTGCTGCAGGGCAGCAGCGCTACCCACTGCTTTACTAAGCAGCCCATAATAAAGGATAATATATGTTTAGGGAATTCTTTGTCATGCTGTGACACATGTACACCAATCAGCACCAAGTCTAATGACTGGTGCTAACTCCCCCTGGTATCCTTCCTCTTTTAATTCAAAAACTGTCACTAGAAGACCCTCCAGCACCAAAGAATTTATCATCATTGGAGTTTAATCCTTTTAAATCTTTCTTGGCTAAAAAGTTTAGTGTAAGCACAAGATGTCACAGTGCTGCAACAACTGATCAGCAATAAATCAGCAAGCCTTTTGACCTGCGCTCTGACCTAAGCGACAGGACAGTTTTATCAGTCACTTTGATGTCAGTAGCAGGCTTGTTCCTTTTTTCTTATTCCAGGAACAGGGACGTATAAATCCATGGAGGGGAGAACCGCACCTCTGCCAATAATAGTTTTAGATAGTTCATGATAGCTGCAAAAAAAAAAAAAAAATTTTATTTGCAGCTTAATTTTTTTACATACATATGAATCTTTTTTTTTTCTTCTTTTTGTGGGGTTAAAGACATATGATATGTGATTGGTGATTTTTCTGGCAAATGCTACAGTGAACGTGACCTTCTTCCCAAAGATTATTCAAAAGTCTTCAAACTGTTGGCACACATTCATTTGGGAATACACATGTGAGAAGGATGTACATAAAATGCAATGACAGGGTTCATATTAACCTAATTGTTTGAAACCCAAACAAAGAGACTTGTGACATTTAGCTTTGTGATGCAAAAACTTTATTGTTTACATCTGTCAAACAAGCATGAACACATCCAGTGAAAGCAAAGATAACACTGAGTCTGTCTCCAGGCATTTGATCAGATGTATCATCCACTTGACATTGCACGCATGACTCCGAGCGGATGGGACTGATGCCATCTGTCCCAGTTTCAAAGTCAGGGCCTCAGACCAGAGACCCGTCGTTCTGCAGCCATGTGGAGGCCTTCTACTTGGAGAGGTCCTAGCAAATCTTTTTGACATATATATTTTTACACACCTTAAAAAAATTTCAAATTGTTAGAGCAATATTTAAAAAGTAGCACTTAAGATATGAGTGTTGGGAGAATCTTATAATTTCCAGTTTTTAAGCTTTTGATTTCTAGTGTTATCATTATATGTTTAAGGAATTTTGATAGAAAATTACAGCTCTAATATGTAAAGGTTAAGCAAACATACCTTTCTATTCAATCAACAAAATGATAACTTTAATTTAGATATCCTACAAAGATTTTCTCACAGTCAATTTCGCTTTGAACTCCTCATAATTGTGTGTCATATGGCTTTTTGATACTATTACACTATAAAGTACATTCTTTATCTATGCAGATTTTTGTTTTACAACAGTTTCTCTGAGGTTTTACATTTTTACTAATTTTACAGTCTCAATGAATGTAAACAAAGGCGTTTGTCGTGTGATGGCGTGAGATGATCTTCCCTGTGGATGACAGACAGAAATATTCTAGGTAACTTCAGGAAAACATTTTTTCCTTGTGAGAAATGGTTCACCAACAGTCATGATAGGACTGGGAAAAAAACTACTTCAAGTATTGAAAAAATAATAATAATCCACAGAAAAATACACAAGTCTGAATCTGTAAAAATGTAAAATTCTGTTACATTCTGTAAAATTATTTTCTCTAATTTAAACTGAGTAAAACTTTACAAAGAGGGTCAAACATTTGTAAACTCCCCTACTAATACCTGGTTAAATCTCCCTTAGAAATGTGCACCGCTGAGAGCTACTTGAAGCATTCTTTATTTTTTGGTTAAACACTTATCAATGTTCTTGTCAGAATCATTACAGTTTATGTAAACTAATTGGTTTCCGGGTAATTACTGAGGCTTGTCAACTCAATTACCAAATATATAATGTCCTACCTGTTTTGGATGTGTTTGTTCTCCAATGCACGTTATCAAACTGTTGGATTACTTTCTCAACGTGTCACCAGGTTCTGCAGGAATTTGCCAATACCTCATCTGATTTAGGCCTTTTGGACCAGGGGCAAATCTAAACTTTGAGGGATCTCAAGTACTATTCTTTTATGTTTTTATCATTTAGCTTTTTTATTTTTTTTACTACTTTTATAAACCACTTTATTTATTGTTTTTATTATTATTGTTTATGCTGCTGCACGTCTAAACCATTGTTCTTCAGGTTTAAGATCAGGACTTAGGGAAGTCTTACTGATGCTTAATGTAGGCCCATTTCCTCCTTCTTTAAACCAGTTTGGATGCATGTTTGGGAGTCATTTTCCTGTTGAAATTCCCAAGTCTTAACTATCTACGTATTGATGTGCAGTGAAGTCTTTTTATATTTTGTGCTGCTACTCATATCGTCCAATTCAGCAGTATTATACCAAAATGGACCCATAGTATGATACGGCTATAACCATGACATTTTGTAAAATATTTTTCAGAATTAAAGCCTTGCTCTCATGGGCTCCTCTCTTTGGCGGCACCTTCTCAGTGTATAGTTATAGTTGGGCTCAGTGTGGACAATGACACTGAGGATTCAACGGTTCCCAGTCTATGGCAGGCTCTAGTCTTGGTGGTTCCTGGGATCTTTCTGAATATCTTAACTGATTTGCTTTTATCTGAAGTTGACAGACGTCTGATCTTTGGATCTCAGATGGTCTTAGCATAGCTCAATATCTCATACTTAAACTAAACCATTAAGGCACCACTGGCTAAAAAATTTAAATTAGTTCATATGAATATCTGGATTTTGTGATGAATTAGTTTCTGTTTTTAAAAGTTATGAAAGTTTGTGCAGTCGTTAAAATCTGAAACAATTGTTTCACATAAAGATGAGCCACAATTTAATATGACATTAATGCTTTGGAAGAAGGTATGTAAAGCTTTGACTGTAGCTGTAAAAAAAAGAAGAATAAAACAGCTTTTCTTCAAGCAAAAGAATTTCAGAGTATTCTACAAAACTGCAGAATTTTACATTCTATTTTACCCTTTTAGGACCTTCTAACCATTCAGCACAAATACAAAATGAATACATGTTCTCTTCCTACATGTTTAATGACATCATCCTGTTTTAAAACAGGCATCAAACAAGTTTCAGATATAAAACAAGGCTATGCTGCTTCTCTGCCTACTATCTGTTTTTCACTATTGTTCGCTTGAGTCAGTGACACCTGCCTTGTTCTTGTAAAGCTGGTTTATGTCTCTATGAAACTAGGAATGGATATCAGGTTTCTTCTGTACTTTCTTCATATCAGGCTGTTGTAATCTATGCCTATTTCTAAGTAAAATGGTTATAAAATGTAAGTCAAAAGGCACTGTGGAACCCTTAACTCACCCATGTTACTTCAAACTTCGTCGTCTCCGAGAGATAACTGGAGAAACAGAAATGACTGGTGAGCATAGTTTTAGATTTTTCAGCAGCTTAGTTTAACTGATTTTTTTTTTTGAAAAAAGGGATGTCTGCTGAAATGATACTCACCCATACCGGCATTACTTCCTGGGCAGGGAACTAAAAAGTAATAAAAAAGACAAGTTCTAATAAGAATCTTGAACACACAAATAAAACAGGTTTTAAACTCAGTCCCTAAAGGTCTGTTTGACCTCATCATCTTAGAAATTATCATTAGTTGAACCAGCTTGACCAACTTATTGATTTCCTGAATTCATACAGAGGGATACTTATATACAAAAATATATATATACAAAGACATCTGATTTTAATACAGCATTCAAGCCCATGATGAGCATGCAGTTAGTCTTTCGCAGGTAATGTTGATCCCACCTGAGTACGTTCTAGGGAGGCAGAATGTCACTTGGACCCCGTACTCTCCCACTGGTGCTACGACGACCGTGTAGACGTCCCCGCAGGTTCCCTCCTGGATGTCGCAGTGCATGCTGCCTGCAGCTGCAAAGCAGGTATAGTTGGCTCCCGTCCCATACAGCTCCACTGTATGGTTATACGCCTGAGAGTTCGAAGAACGCCAGTACACCCTGAGCGAGTTGTTAGTGCGGCGATAGAGCTTTACACCTGTCGGACAGCAGGCACCTAAAAGAAAGCGACTTTGTTTGAATTTTTTCATTGTATGTTTTATTTTATGTCATTCTGTGTGTGTTTCTCCTTACTGGAGGAAAACCCTCGATAATGGCACTGGGACTTGTGTCCCGTGCTGCTGATGGCATCCAGTTGGACGCTGTAGTTGGTGCCACAGGTGATGCACCCCATCAGGCAGTGGGCGTCCAGGGTGTGACATTTGGCTTTCCCACGCGGGGACATCAAGGAGGCTACGTAGGAGCGGGCTCCGGTGCTGGGTGACCAAGTTACATTGGTCATGGCCTGGGTGACCTGGCTCACGTTCACAGTCGAAGGGCAGCAAGGACCTCAGGCAGAACAACAGAAATCAAGTGTTTATGCTGGAACATTTTTATGTTTATTTTCTTTTCTTTATTTCTAGAGTTTAGAAAAGTTCAGTCAGAGAGAAGGAAAATAATTTTACAGGCTTTTTTTTCTTCTTTTTTTTTTACATAAAACCAACGCAGATGTTAATGTCAGACATTGCTGTACCTGTTTCCAGAGCTTGGCTGTATCCAGGCAGACTTTTTCCGACTGTGGTGGTGGCCACAGCTGTCACCTCGTAGAGCGCGCCACAAGGCAGCTGTGTGAGCTCACAGGAGTCATTTCTGGTCTTGCACACGTGTTTGTCATATCGTCCTGTTGCTGTGACGGTGTAGTTTGTATTGGGGGAGTTTGGGGTGGTTATCAGTACTCGGTAGGTAGAGTTAGAGGTTTGAGTCATATTCAGGATCTCTGGAGCACAGGGAGCTGCAGGAGAAAACACAAGTTTTATAAGTGGCTTTTGGTCTCTACTGAAATTAGTTTGTCAGATTAAAAGTCCCAATAAGGGCCCTTCATTCAACAATTCACCAATATTATTTCTCTTTATGTTCAGAATATATTCAGTTTTAAAATATTTCATAATCTCCCATTAAAGTCACACAGAGCACATCATACTAGTGAAAGCGGACATTAAAAAAAAGTAAAAGTCTGAAAAAATTGGCTTGCCTCTTTGAGTCACCAATCTGTAATACTATTTTTAACTTCTTAAAAAAATTGCCCTAGCTGCCTCCACCAGGAATTTTGTTTTCAGATGAATGTGCCTTAGCCTTTTTCTTACCATTTTCCAGAGGCTGGAAGATTTGTGAAAGGAAACAATATTATCTGCATGGACAAAATTTTGATTTCAAAGTGGGAGGGATGCAAGTAACTCTTAATGTAACTACCGTAACTTCAGTGTGTTTCACCATCCAATCACAGATTCCGATTGAGATGTTTGTAAAGTGAGTTTCTCAGGAGTAACAGTGGTGACAGACAATCACACAAGAAAAGACGATGGGCCAATCAGGAGCTTGCTGGCGGTCTAAACTCAGGGAAGAGAGCTTCAGCTTGAGCTGCGGTTTTCCGTTTTGGTACCAGTGTTCGATGAATGTCTGCATACTGTATTGTAACAGTTTGGACAGTAAAATGTGCAGGGGATCAAAATGCACGTTTGAAAAAGTGTAGGGGACATGTCCCCCCGCCCCACCCCCCAAAATGATGTCCATGATTATCTGTCTTGACGTTTTTTTTTAACGTTTGCCATGGATTACTACTACATTCTGAGTAATTCCTCCATTCCTCACTAATAATTATCAAACTTTACATCTGCTTCAAAATGCAAAAACATTGTTGAAAATTAAATGCTTCCATAATCGGCTCCTTATGTATCACTTTTATCATTATACCTGTCTCATGTGTGTGTGGGGTGCAGGTGCGGTTGCATCCTCGTAACTCGCTGCAGGGGGTCACTGTCACAGAGTAAGGCGTGTTGCACCTCAGGTCAGAGAGAGCACAGACTGGCGCTGTGTCGTTGCAGTGTAGGACGTTGTTAGGCTGCGCCGCTGTGGTCTCGTACAACTCGGCCCCCTTGACCGGCGACCACATGACCTCCAGTGTCTCTGTGGATACCAGCTCTACGGTTACATCCTGAGGACAACAGGGAACTAGAAAGGATGGAACATGAAGGGGGAGGAGGAAACAACTTGTTAGTGGCTTTTATTTTTAATTCCCTCAGTCTACATGATTGTCTACAATACTCACTCTACAATAGATTACAATGGAATAATTTAACAGATTCCAAATAAATATTTATTGCTTTGTGTGTTTTTTTTCTTCTGATATGCATGAGTAAGATGGTCTCAAAAGCTGAAAATGTATTTCTGTGTGGAGGTATATGGATCTGTGCATCAACAAATGCACAATTATCTAGTTTTTTAATCTATTCTTATGAAACACAATGCAAAAGTCTTAGCTTATCCTATTTCTCTATATTTTGCCCATGGCGAAGCAAGATTTTCAGCAGTGTTTTAAGCTGTCTGGGTTTGCTTTCTTTGTGGAATGGTGTGTTTTTCCACGTATTTTCTTTCAAAATGTGTTTGAGAATCGTAATGGCTTTGTTAATGAAATAATGATTTCAAATTTGTAAAGTGAGGTTCTGTTAAAAGTATATAAGGAGTTAACATCTCCCCTCCAGATGTCTTCAATTAGTCTAGAGCCAAATTAGGTAGTCCCAGAAAATAAAGCTAAGGCTTAAAGAAATACCAAAGCAAAAAGACACCTACTCTTATTTCCACATAAGCTGATGAGTCTATTGGGCAAGGGGTAAAGGTAGGACACTATGTGTCAAAAATTATCTTGCTATGGAAAACGCCATGAATATAAAAGTAAAGGGGTGTAAAAATGTAAAAAACAATTACAACAAAAAAAGATTAAAGATAACTTTAGAAAATGTATTTCTTTGCAGGTAGCTGCTCTAATAAGAATTGTACTCCCAGTGCAGTACTTTTCTTACACTTCCAGTGTTTGTATAAATGTCCTCTGACATGTTTGAATTCAGTTCTTCTATAATGGAAGAAGTCCACTTTGGTGTTTGCTCCTCTGACTGCTCAATTGCTTAGTTTTTTACGAACTGAAGCACCAGCTATCCGACCAAATAAGATAATAACTTCTTATAAACTCTTAAAGGAACTCGATTTATACCACATAATCCGACCTTTGGATGACTTTGGCTGTAGAAATGCTGTGAAATTGAATAAACAAAGGTTTGAAATGGTAAAAAAGGACCAAAGACACTTTGTTTCCCTCATCTATTAGTTGAATATTTTTAAATATTTCTTTTAGCCCTTGCATACAAACTTGTACAGCCATTTTTGTCTTAAATTTTCCCAGTCATGACCTTCTACCCTTCACGTGCTGTTAATACTTTTCTTATTTGTCCTTGTACCCATGTCAATTTTCCTGTCTGAAACAAATATTGCTGTGCAAGTTTAAGAAATACCAGGTTAAAATTAAATAATATACAGCCAAAAGTTTTTATCAGATTCCGTGTTTTCTTGAACAGTTTCATGGATGGAGCCTATACTGTCCCAGTAGACTGTGGTCTCACTGGTTGTGTAGTTGCGGACATGTGCGAAGAGGCTGGTGCCGGCCTGGTTGTAGGGAAACACGCTGGTGAGGTACGTGTAGCCACACATGCAGAAAAACGGGCAGGTCGTCTCTGTGGTGTTGCACGACTTCTCATTCCCATCATCCCTTTTTATGAAAGCCACATAGTACTCCACCAGGGGCACATCCTCCCACACCACCGAGCAGTTCCCAGGGGTGGACTCTTCCACCCAGATGTTCTCTGGGGGACACGGGTCTGTCAAGGACACAAAACAATTTAGAGCTAAACAATAAGATTTGGTGATACTAGGCTCTTCTGATGAGCCTTTTCAGTTAAAAAATGCGAGGAAGCAATTTTTTCTACTTGATCATGGTTGCGTTTGTTGAACCCACATGTGATGTACTTAGCCGGTTGTGAGGGGCTGCTGGGTCCAGCGTCGTTGTAGGCTACGACATAAACCGTATGGTTCTGACCGCACTCCTGCGGTACGATGTAACAGTAGCTATTATCTGTGGTACAGTTTTGGCCATTGGAAGTAAAGGCGAAGTAGCCGGAAGCCCCTTGGACCATCATCCAGTAAACAGCAATTCCAAGAGACCGTCCCTGAGTCACCTGGACGTGGGTCACATCTGGGCTTAGAGGACCTGGTGAAGAAACCACACTGATTCTTTTAAGGTTGTAGAATTTAGGATAAAAAACTTTATCCTGTTCATACTCCAAAGGGTTTTGTTCGGGGTTTTTTGAATAAAGATGATAGACCAACACCATGGTGCAAATCTTCAATGTTTTGATTGTTAACTGAATTTTTTAAAGAATTTTCCTACATTGCTGCCAGCAGTTTTGTGTTGTTGGGGATTTTCAACTCTTTATCTCCTATCTCCTTGTTTTCCAAACTTTCCAAAAACTGGTATAGCCTTATCAAATGACCCTTTTCTCTTTCCTGACATCAATTGCAGGAAGCTGAAAAAAATTATTTTGACTTTCAGTACAGTAGCTTTGGTTCCGCCTGTCCTCCATTTGTAGAAGTCACAATCACTAGTTGCGAACAGATTCTTCAAAATGAGATGTCTCTGCAGCTCCCTCTGTTATATTTTTTATGGTAAATCATATAGTGATTCAAATTGAGATGTAATAATATTTTTTTATCTACTTCTGCTATAAACTCTTTCACAACTTTATTCCTTACCTGTCTTCCATGTTTCGAGTAATTAATAAATAATTTAACTTTATTGATATCACATTGGAGAAATTATCTCTCTGCATTTAACCCATCCTTTTGGGGAGCACTGGGCCACCATTGTGCAGCGCCCGGGGCGTAGTGTGGGGTTAAGGGTCTTGCTCAGGGACCCAGAGTGCAGGCTGTGGGGATCAAACCGGATACCTGAAACCTTCTCAGAGCACAAGGGCACTAGTCTAACCACTAGTCCAACACTCAATGTTTCTAGATCTTTGCAATGCTTATGCTAACTAATGTCCTCTAACCAACACAGGAAGTTTTTGGCTTTTTTGTAGGAATGAGTATAAGATATTTAATAGCAAATTATTTTAAAAAATAGTTACTTCATAGGTGTGCCGCTAGTTTGTGTTGGTCTGTCACATTAAATTATGATAAAATACATAGAATTTTTGTTTTGTTCATTGACAAAAATTGGAGAAAATGCTTACGAGTTATCTGGCAGACAGTGAGGTCGTCACCGGCCTGACCCTCAGCGTTCCATGCCATGCCCTTGATGCAATAGGAAATTCCTGATTCAAGGTTGTCGAACGTCACCGTGGTGTCAGTGGTGTTTAGGACAAGGCGGTTGCTGGAGCCCTCTCGGATCATGATCAGTGTGTAGAGGACGGCATGCTCCACCGGGGGCCAGGTCACATGGATGGAGTCATTGCTAGGAGAGGATGTGTTCAACTTGGGGGCGATGACGACTACAAAGGACGGGGGGGTAAAAAGCAAAGCGTTAAAAAAATTAATAAATCAATGATCATATTTTCTCACTGTGTCTCTCCATTTGCCCTTTTTGTTGTTAAGTGTGAAGATTTTTTTAAGCAATCATGTTACATCCCCTTTTTTTATTAAGCAGGGCAACCTAGTTCTCATGGTTTCCCTTTTCAAGGAAGGAAAACTTTACGGTACAAAGAATAGATTAAGTTTCCACCATCTTGCATTTGTGACAGAGAGAAACTCAGTGACAATGGGCAGTGAAATGATAAGGCCTTATTGTCATGGCGGAACAAGTTATTGTTTGGGTGGAACAATAGAAGGTCTGCATTTCATGCATCATACTGTACAATGATTATACCAGCCCAACGAAACTCATAATATGCTTAAACAATCCCTACCTGTCTTGGCCTCGATGGGGTATGATGGCTGGCTCCTCCCTCCTGAGTTGACGGACATGACGCTCAGGATGTAGTCTGTGTAGGGCTGGAGGCCGACCACGGTGCCCGGGGAGCCTGGCACGGAGGTTTCAAAGAAGAAATCGCCAAACTTTGACTCTGCTCTCAGGATGTAACTGGTGGACCCAGAAACTTCTTCAAACTCAACAGTGATGCTGTCGCTGTTTTTGGAATACGCCTGATGAATGCTCGGAACATCAGGAGCTGAGGAGTAAATGAAACCAGAATAATTAGGTGTAACCCCTTAAGCCCGAGGGTCTTAGGAGCAAATTCTGCCTGAACTTACATATGTGAATTAAAACAAGTACAGCTCCAAAACAATAAATCGGAAATACAATGGTTTGAATTTATATGACAGAAAGACATTGAAGAGTATTTTTCAGGTGGAACCACTATTTTAAATGTCACCATATCTGATTTATAGATGATTAAACATAGATAAAATGAAATATATTTAGCCTCGCCAAATTTTCTTCCAAAGTAAACACTAAAAAACACCATGAAACCCCATTTGAAACTCTGGATGAACCTTCAGACTTTATAGACCCACATCTTGACTATAACAAAGGTTTCAGTGGGCAGTGTGCTAGGTGGAAATGGGATTTTGGCACAATGCCAAATGTGCAAAAATGCATTTTTCCTCTAATACAAGAGAATCTGGCTAGACAAATATGCTGATTTACATTATTGGAGACATCCTGCATAAGACAAAGCCTTGGCTCCTAAGATTTAGCCTTTGTTTCAATAAAATTTACCAATAATATAACCAAACTGAATAGATAATAAGAATAACAGAGCAATCTTATGTAACGCATGCTGGTTACATTAACAGAAATGGTCGCACAATTACCTGCGACCCCTCTTTGCAAAGGTCTGAGCCTCTAGTTTTTAATGATGATGGCCATTATGGGGTGGGGCTAAAAAGGAATACCTGTTGTTGCATTACTCCCGTAGAGTCAGAAATCTCCGGTGAAATTTTAAATCTCATGATATGTGTTTACACATCTATAAACCATAACGTATTTGGGACAAAATAATTTTGAAACATGTTTTAGTAATTTTTAAGCCCCATTTGAAAGGCGTGTGGATGAAACACCATGTGACTGTGTTTTGGCCATTTCTATAAATAGATGAACATGACCAGGTGTCAGATGGGGCTAAAGCGGTTTTAATCAGATTCAAAATTATAGGAACACAGTAATCAATGTTATAAATAACGTAAAATTTACTTAAGAATAAACTGAATGTTTTTCAGAACATTTATGTTTTTATTGTTGTTTTAAAAAATGTTGCACTGCCCGTAAAGGTCCCATAACATGCATGTTAAAAATAGGATTTACAGAACATTTTTAATCCTTTAATTTCAAATGTGAAATATCTAGATATTTAGATGATCTAAGCTTTGTATATTTGAAATCAATGAAAAGATTTTTTACCAAAAGTATTAAACAAGTAGCCTCGTGAGACCATCCTGATCTCGCGAGCTGTCAAAATTTCACTCGCTAATCAGTCTGAAAAAAATTTGG